TGATCAATTTTAAAAAAAGAGTTTGTGTGTTACAAAACTAAGGATGCGTTAGGTAAAAGTGAAAAACGTTAAGATTTCGAACTTGAAATGCCTTTCATTCTTATTTTAGTTGTTTAATTCTTCTTTTCTTTCATTAGAAAAATCCGGAAAGAAGACCTAGTCATTCGATTTGAAGAGTTTGCTATATATCTTACCTGACTATTTATATATATAAATCCGGAAAGAGATTCTTTTGCTATTTGACACCTACAAGGACTGCTGTTGGTTCTATTTATACTTATATTCTCACAACAAAACTATTCTCTTCCAGTTGAAAATCCTACAAAGAGAACACATCACTTTGGTTTGCAAGGTTGGATATATAATTCTTACGACCTTAATTTGAATGTGTTTCAATACTAGTTTTCTACTTTAATTTGCACATTTTCATTGGATTTATGAATATTTACTAAGTTGAATTCCCTTGCGCTTTTCGGTGTGTTTATATATTTTTGATACCTTTAGTGAAAAGTTTTACTCCGCCACTGGTTGGACTTGGACTTGGACTGTATTGGTTACTTAAATGCGGTGTTATTATTCAATCATGACTTTGGAGAAAATATTCAGATATGCTTATTTTGCTTGGTATATATTGACATCATATTGCTCGCAAGCAACAGATTACCATTAACAGTTTTGTTATCAGTGTCACGATCCCAGTTCGCCCTTCGTGAACCTTTATGACGGTACCTAGTCTTTGTTGGGTTTTTTGCCACGAGTATTCGACTCCAAATGACCCAAATCTATTCAACTCAATTGCATAATGTAAATAACACTTCAAGTAACTGATTCTACAATTAAATTCTAAGCTAATATTAGGTAAAATGACCAAAACGCTCCTCGGGCCCACGTCTCGGAATCAAGTAAAATTTACATTTCCAGAATCATCACATTCTCATGAGTTCAGTCATACTAAAAGTACCAAAATCGGATCTCAAATGGTCCCTCAAATCATCACTCAAAAGTCTCTAATTAATCAAGAACTAACCCCCAAATTATCACAGATTTTCTTTAATTTTTCATGCTTATAATGATAAAAATCACTCCAATAACGAGTTTAGGGGCCAAGACCTTAACCCAATGAACTCCTCTGAAAACCTCTCTTGAAAATGCTCCCCAAGTCTTCTTCCCGTTTGAAAAGAGGTGAAAATAGCTCAAATTCGCGAAGGTAAGAATTTATATGTTTCTGCCCAGTTAATCCGTTTCTGCGGTCATGGGACCGCACCTGCGGTCCCGCTTTTGCGGAGCAATGGTCACATCTGCGACAATCACTAATCCAGCCTGTTTCCGCACCTGTGATTCCCCATTCGCAGATGCGGTACCGCTTCTGAGGTAAATTTCCCGCATCTGCGGACCCTGTTGCTCCTGCCCAATTCCACTTGTGCGATGACAAATGTCGCTTCTGCGGCTACGCACTTGCAGGACCCAATCGCAGGTGCGGTTATGACAGAAGATCAGCAGGTTCAACTACAATTCCAAACTCAAAATCCTTCCGTCAACCATCCCAAAATCATCTCGAGGCCCTCGGGACCTCAACCAAAGGCACCAACAAGTCCAATACCCCTGTCCAAACTTATACCAATCCTTATAATACCTAAAACTACATCGAAACGGCGAATCAACCACGAATTCAAGCCTAAGAACTCCAAAACTCTAAAAATACGCTTTCTATCAAAATTTCTACCAACCCTCACCCGAATGACCTGAAATTTTGCACACGCATCACATTCGACACTACGGAGCTACTCTAACTTCCGGAATTCCATTCCGACCCTCGGATCAAAATCTCACTATCGAACCGGAAACTTCAATATTTGACTTTTCGGCATTTCAAGCCTAAATTAGCTACGGAGCTCCAAAACACAATCCGAATACGCCCCTAAGTCCAAAATCACCCAATGGAGTTAACAGAACCATCAGAATTCCATTCTGAGGCAGTCTTCACACTACTCCAACTACGGTAAAATTTCCAACACTTAAGCTCTCATTTAGGGACTAAGTGTTCAAAAACTCTCCGAAACTCAAAACCGAATATCCCGGCAAATCAAAATAGCAGAAATAAACACGGGGAAAACAGTTAATAGGGGATCGGGGCGTTAATTCTTAAGACAACCGGCTGGGTCGTCACAATCATATACTAATAACTTGTTTGCTATAAATATTTACATTTTTACCGGTTTATTGGTTGATAGGATTGCAAAGAAAGAATGCAAACAATCTCCAAGAGGAAGAAGGGAAAAGAAGATGATGAGGAGCAACAACATCTTATCACTTGTATACCCAATGAAATGGTAATTGAGATATTAAAAAGAGTACCTTGCCTGGATTTATTAGAAAATTTAAATTTAGTATGCAAGAAATGGTATTCCATTATCTACAATGGGAGCTTTGCGTACTCACACTTTGAACACAGAATATATTAAATCCTCATCATTCTCTCAACTCGAGGCTGTTCTTATCTCAACAAGTGATGGAAAATCTGTTACTCTTTCTTCCTTGTATTGGCACAAGAATTTCAACGACCAACCATCCGAAAACATGGTGATTAATGATTTTTTTCACAGCAGAAAATGTGTTGGGAACATGTATTAATCAAATGTCCTTCGAGAAGGAAATTGTGTGAATGGTTTTATCTGTTTCAGGAGTAAAGATGGTCGTTATCATGTCTGCAATCCTATGACTTTGGAATATGTCACAACACCGGCAAATCCAAATTGGCATCGAACAGGATCTACTAGAGCTGGGCTTGGATTTTGCCCAATGTCAAATCAATATAAAGTGGTCGTTTTACAAAATAAATTTGTATTTAACGTCCAAGAATCAGATATCTTTAATTGCTCGATTTTTACGGTTGGAATTGACCATTTATGGAGGCCATTGAAATGGAATATTCATCATTCAATCTACCCGAGTACAAGATATGTAAATGGTGTGTTATATTGGTGTGCTCAGAATTGTCATGTCAATCCACGTTTTCCTGAAGTCAAGTGTCACGATACAACAAAATTCATTGTATTCGACGTAGCTATGGAAGAATTCGATATGATTGTGGTACCAATAGAGAGCGAAGAAGAGAATGTAAGTATACTAGACATTGGAGGGAGGCTTTGTTTGATGACAGTAACACGATGTCGCAATCACAATGTCTTGTTTAAAGGATATGTTGAGTATAATAATGATGATTTGGGAAGCTTAAATTCATGGAAGTTAGAGTTTAGTGTGACAACTCCTGAATTATACGACATAGATGCTGTGTATTACATGAGCTTTACCAACGAAATCTTGATGGTCGATGTGGGGTCCAGCCCATATGTGAAAGAAGAAAAACTTCTTCTTTCTTCCTTTTGCCAAGCCAACTAATTTAGACAAGATTTGGGCGGCTGATTTTTTGCAGTAGTATTGATGTCATTGCATATACCAACATAGGTATTCTGTAACTATAAATAAGTGCATCTACCTTCATTGTAAGACACACCAATCTCAGAGGAAAAATATATCTGAGAATTAAAAAGAAAGAGTGAGGTTTCACAGACAAGGTATAAGAAAATAGTCTGTGAGAAAAATAGAGAGTATGTGATATTGTAGTGAGGTGGAAATATCAAAAGAGGGTTATTTCTTTTGAATGTTGTAGTGGTCTTTTGAGTATTTTACTCGGACCTACAAAGTGTAAAATTCCTTGCTATAGTGATATCAGTTGCTCTTCTCAGGACTGTGGTTTTTTCCCTTATTCAAAAGGGTTTTTCACGTAAAATCTTGGTGTCGTTGTTACTCTTTTATTCTTGTTAATTACCGTATCTCGGTGCTACGTTATTATTCCNCAAAGTAGCAAGAGCGGACGAAACAACTTTTACCCGAGATGGTCGGGATCGAATCCATATGGAGTTAGAATTGGGAATTGGATTCCTATCTAAACTAGAAATGCGTAGTGCTCTTAATGACACTTCCAATCATAATGGTTGTTTGTTACTTCTACTTTTATGCTAATAAGATACTAAATTAACCTAAGAATGATTGCTTGTAAGGTTTTCTAAATGATTAACAAGGCACTAGGGAAATGATTTTCTCCTAGGTAAATACTTGACGGGATCTAAAGCCTAAGGTAAAGTTGTTATGTTGGGGATTGCGATATAGCCAATGCACGAAACTACTCACTCTATACCTCTCGGTAGCTTGAGTGACTTTGCCCTAATTGACTTTCTCAAGACCAATTGGGTGTCAAAATTGTGCAAGCAATATAGGCTCAAGTCGGGTATTTCTATCTCTAGATTTAACCCTTTAATTGGGGCTATCAATCTCTTGATTACACCTAATTCCTTGTTGGACTAATTTTCCTAGACTCAAGCTCTCTTTCTCAAGAAGATCCCAAGTCAAATAGGCACAAATTAGTGCTTGCAACCACCAATTTAACATGGAAAACACAAATATCAACTACTCATAAACATCTAAGCCTTAGAACAAAACACCCATCAAATACCAACACTAGGGTTGAGCCACAACCCTAGCTAATGGGTCTAGCTACTCATAATAATAGAAGAAAACAGAAAAATAGATAAAGAATAACCCATATAATTTGATTACAAACTAAGATAATGAAGATTCAGTGTTAATATAGCTACAAATTACTCAAAATGGAACTAAAACATCGTTCACGTGCTCTGGTCTCTAACAGATTACAAAATATACCTTAAAATGTGAAAAGAAAGTATTTATACTAGGCCGAATTTTTTGGACAAAAATACCCCTAACAGAGGTATTGCAGACCGCGGAAAATGCACCGCGGCCGCGATGAGACTTTTTGGCTTGAATATTAACTCTCTGAATCTGGCCACCGTGGGCCGCATAAAATGCATCGCGGTCGCGGTGACTTCACTGCGGTCCGCATAAAATGCTCCGCGGACTGCGCTGGCTTCAATTGTCCAAACTCCCAACTCTCTAAATCCCCTCTCTGCGGACCGAATAAAATGGATTGCGGCAGCGAAGAGGGTACTGCGGTCCGCACAAAATGGGTTGCGGCCGCAGTTCTTGAGCTTCCAAAATCTGCACCTCTCTGAATCTTCTCACCGTGGACCACACTAAATGGATTGCGGCCGCAGTGGGTCTGTTGCAACTATGCTTTGACTTGTTCTTGGTACTTGTTCATGTTTCACTCCTTTTTGAGTTGGTTTTGACTACTTATCACCTTTTTGACCAAATCCTGCAAACAAGCATAACATGTAAGCCTTTGGGACTATTTGTATACATTTTTAATCAAAACTTGAGTAAAAAGGAGTGTAAAATGAACTAGAATCCCTAGTTATCAGTGGGGCGGGAGGTAAGGGGCATAAGGGAGCCTATATATTGATAACTAGGTCATGGAACATAGGAACACTGGCGGGTAAGTCTATAGAGTTAGCGAGAATCCTTCAGAATAGGAAGGTTAATATAGCGTGTAGGTAGATAGGATAGAGGGCGAGGGATGCAGATGGGTATAAGTTGTGGTACACTGGAGTCTTGAAGGGTAAGAATGGAGAGGGTATCTTGGTATATAGGGATCTCAGAGAGCATGTGGTAGATGTTAGGTGGGTGAATGATAGATTAATGACTATTAAGTTATTAGTTAGTGAGTGTATCCTAAATGCAGTTAGCGCTTACGCGCCACAAACAAGATAGGATGAGGAGGTTAAAAGGAGTTCTAGGAGGGGTTGGATGAGATTGTGCGTAATATTCTGCCTGCCGAGAGGTTATTTATAGGAGAAGATTTCAGTGGACATATTGGGTCATCTTCAAGTAGCTATAGTGAGGTGCATAACGGCTTTGGTTTTGGGGAGAAGAACAGAGGAGGTACTTTGTTGTTGGATTTCGTCAAGGCATTTGAGTTGGCGATTGCGAACTCGCGTTTTCCAAAGAAGGAGGATCATTTGCATACTTTCCAAAGCACGGTGGCGAAAACTCAAATTGACTATCTCCTCTTCAAGAGATATGACCGAGGGTTGTGCAAGGATTATAAGATTGTCCCAAGTGATACACTAGTGACACACATTGGTATTATGATAAGGAGGAAGAAGAGCTATGTACTAGGACGTCCAAGGTTCATGTGGAGCGCCTTGACTAAGGATAAAGCTCGGGAGTTGGAAGGCAGGTTATTAGCTTTGGGGGCCTAGAGGAGTAGTGGGGACGGGAGCATTATGTGGTCAACGACAATGGACTATACTAGGAAGGCAACAAGAGAGGTGTTAGGGGTCTCGTCGGGGTACTCTAGTGGCCACAAAGGCGACTGGTAGTGGAATGAAGTGGTCCAAGGTAAATTGAAAGCAAAGAAGGCGGCATACCTGAAGTTAGTAGGGAACACTGGCGAGGAGGAGAGAAGGGCGAACAATGAGAGTTATAAGGTAGCTAGGAAGGAGGCAAAGCTGGAGCTCATGGAGGCTAAGACTGTAACTTTTCCTCGTCTGTACAAGGAACTGGGGGATAAAAGGCGGGAAGAAGAAGTTATTCTTGTTGGCTAAGGCGAGATAAAGGAAGCCTCGGGATCTGGACCAAGTGAGGTGCATCAAAGATGAGGACGGTAGAGTTTTGATGGGGGAGGACCAGATTAAACGGAGATGGCAGACCTACTTTCATAAACTTTTGAATGAAAAATGAGATTGGGATATTGTGCTAGGTGAATTGTGGCATTCTGAGAGTCACCGTGACTTTAGGTATTGTAGGCGCATTAAGGTTGAGGAGGTCGTGGAGGCTATGCATCAGAGGAGTAGGGCCAGAGCTACGGGGCCAGACGAAATTTCGGTTAACTTTTTGAGGTATGTGGGTAGAGCTTGCTTGGAGTGGCTAACTAGGCTATTTTATATTATTTTCAAGACGAATAGGATGCCGGAGGAGTGGAGATGGCGTATAGTGGTTCCGTTGTACAAGAACAAAGGTGATATCTAGAGTTGTAACAACTATAGGGGTATCAAATTACTAAGTCATATTCTGAAAGTTTAGGAGAGGGTGGTAGAAGTGAGGGTAAGGAGGACAATGTCTATTTCAGACAACCAGTTCGGATTCATGCCTGGGCGTTCTACCACAGAAGCTATCCACCTTATCAGGAGGTTACTGGAACACTATAGGGAAAGGAAGAAGGATCTGCGCATGGTGGTTATTAATCTGGAGAAAGTGTATGCAAGGTTCCTAGGGAAGTTCTATGGAGATGCCTGGAGGCAAAGGGTATGTCGGTTGCTTACATTAGGGTGATTAAGGACATGTATGATGGAGCTAAGACTCAGGTTAGGACAGTGGGATGCGACTTAGAGCATTTTCCAGTTGTTATGGGGTTGCACCAAAGGTCTGCACTCAGCCCATTCCTATTTGGATATGGTGATGTGATAGGTTTTCAATGCCTTTGACTTATGTTTGATGATCTAACAAACTTTGCCAAGAACCTGATAGAGAACCTGACACACTTGGGCTACACTGCAAGCCAATGGATTCCAGCTCAATATGAACTACTATAGCTTCAGGGGATAGAGAACCAAACAAGGACCTGATACCCTTGTTGTTCCCTCATAGCAGTACGAAGTCAATGGGACATAGCTGGAAGCGACGTCACTGCCTACATTGTTTCTGCATGCACTGCACTATTTTTAGTGCCCACTTATTCCTTGACCAACTGAAGTGCTTACATCATTTCAAGTGATGCCATCAAGGTGTATCAATAGTGAGTTTATATCAAAACATCACTTGAACATTTCGGTTCCTCATTCAAGCCTTTTGCAAAATAGAAAAATCAATTCTCACGAGCTTGAAAAACAAAGTTAAACTAACGCTACTACGGACCAGTTCCTAAAGTTAGTATTTTGTTGTCCTTAATTGAGTTGTAACTTTGTGATTGTTCTTATTGTATCTCCTAAACTACTTAGCCAGAAGCGTTGATTAGGAATCCTCTTGTAAAATCCGTAAACTCTCTAAGTTTATATTGTGACTAGGTTTAGTCATAAGTTATAGTCTTTGTAACTAGAGTGTGACAAAGTGGCTTGTGGTAAGAGTATCACAAGTTAGTTAAAGTCTTTGTAACTATAAAGTCACAAAGTGGCTTGTGGTGAGAGTACCACAAGTTAGTTGAGTTGAATCCTCTGTAATAGAGTTATTACAAAGTGGCTTGTAATAGGTGTTTACAAGTTAGTGAAATCGAAAGCCTACAAGTGTAGGTCGTGGTTTTTGTCCCATTGAGTTGGGATTTTTCCATGTAAAAATCATGTGTCTCATTTACTTAAAGTTTTACTAGCATTCTCAGCATAACCTCATAGAGGACCAAGTACGCTACTGTTTGGTGGACTCATAACAAACTAACAATTGGTATCAGAGCGGGTTCCTCCTATCAGGCTAACACCTAGGAAGGATCCTTATGGCTGCTCCACCAAATTTTGAAGAAGGTCAATCTACATACCGACCACCCAGGTTCAATGGACAATACTATGGGTGGTGAAAAACAAGAATGCATGATTTTATCATGGCTGAGGATTCTGAGTTATGGGATGTCATATGTGATGGTCCTTATGTTTCAACAAAGGTACAAGAAGAACTTCCATTTTCAATGTAAAAAACAAGTAAAGAATACACCGGCGCAGATAGGAAAGTTGTGGAGAAGAATTTTAGTGCCAAGAAGATCCTGATATGTGGAATAAGACCTGAAAAATATAATAGAATCTCTGGTTGTGACACTACTAAGGAGATATTGGAAGTTTTGCAAACAGCTCATGAGGGAACAACCTAAGTAAAACAGTGTAAAATCGATATGCTCACTACCGAGTATGAACTCTTCAGGATGAAGGATGATGAATCTATTCAAGATATGCACACAAAATTCACTTCCATCATAAATGAATTACACTCACTTGGTGAAACCATTCCTAGAAACAAGCTATTTAGGAAAATCCTCAGAATTTTGCCTAGCCCTTGGGAAAGCAAGGTGAATGCTATTACTGAATCAAAGGACTTATAGGAGCTGACCATAGAAGAGCTGGTTGGAAATCTGAAGACCTACGAGAAGAAAAGGAAGATAGACAGTAAAAGAAGAGAACCAAAGAAAGAAAAGAACCTGATACTCAAAGCTGATAGTAATGACTCAAGTGAGGAAGACAGTGACATGCTTATTTAACCAAAAGATTTTAGAAGATGGTCAGAAGAAATGGAGAAATGCTAAAAAGAGGAAGCTCTAGCAAATCGAAAAACTATGATCTCTGTCATAAGTGTGGAAAGTCTGGACATTTCATCAAAGACTGTCCTCTCTTGAAGCAAGAATTCTCCAAGAACAACCCTGAAAAAGCAGCTAAGAGGAACCTGGTTCCTTTCAAGGACTTCAAAAAAAGAGATCTGCTGACAATGTGGTGAAACAGGCTCTTGCAGCATGGGGAGATTCCTCTGGTGAGTCTGAAGATGAAATTGATGCTGGTGATAGTTCCATGATGGCAGTTGAAGGCAAGGAAAATGAATATGACTCAACTTTTGCTTTGATGGCCCAATCAGATGATGATGAAAACGATGACAACAAGGAGGTAAATTTCAGGGATGTTCAGAGAAATCTGAAATCCTACTCTCCTAAGAAACTCATGTTTTTAGATAGTATATTGATTGATGCCTATCATAGTCTTGTGGAGGATAGGGATTCCTTAACCTTAGAACTATGAGAAGCTGAACAAACTAGAGATGACTTAGTGCTGTAGTTATTGACCATAAAGAAACCATTAAAAATTTCAAAGAAGAAAGAAATTATCTCTTGGTAGTAATTGCAGACCTAAGGGAAATAATAGAGAGACCAAGGACTAATTCAAAACCTGGAAATTCTGGAAAAGGAAAAGAAATAGCCAGTGAAGAACACATTAGGCTTGAAAATGAGTTGAAAGCTGTGAGAACTAGGATGTGTATTGAAACTGAGAAAAACAAGCACCTCCAAACTAATCTGGAAAGAGTAAAAATGATCTTGAAAAGTTTCTAAAGTGGACCTAGTCCTTAGAAGCTATCACTACCATGTACACTAATAATGGTAGAAACAAGCAGGGAATAGGGTTACAAAGGGAGAAAACTCCTTAAACCCTCATAACAAGTAGGTCACTATTTCTGATAATTGGTTTTGTACCCACTGTGGAAACAATGGGCACTTTAAAGAAAATTGTCAGGCCAGGGTTCAATCTGTTCAGAAAAAACAAAGTGTTTGCTGAAAAAGTGACTACAAAAGAGGGACTAGGTTCCACTCATAAAAAGAGAACATTACCTGCATGGACTAAGAGAGCTCTTATTCATCCTCTTGCCTCCTACAAGGGACCCAAACTTGTTTGGGTTCTTAAAACTAACTCTTGATCTTCTTGTGCAGGGAACAGTGAAAGGAAGCGGTCAACAATGATTCATGGATATTGGGTGTTCAAAGCACATGACTGGAAACTCCATGGACTTTCTTTCACTAAAAGCCCTGCAAGGAGGGAGTGTATTCTTTGGCAATGGGAAAAAGGGGTACATTCTTGGAGTTGGAAAAGTCGGGAAGTCACTCACTCATTCTATTGAAAATGTGTACTATATCAATAGCATTAAGTACAGTCTCTTGAGTGTCTCTCAGATCTGTGATAAAGAAAACAAGGTGGAATTCTTGTCCAAGATATGTACAGTTACTGATCTGGTAACTGGTGAAGTGGTACTTGTGGCCAAAGGATACAAGAACATCTATGTTGCTGATTTCGAGTCCTTACAAAGTGGTGATCTGAGTTGTCTGAAAGTTATTGATGATGATGTTGAACTGTGGCACACAAGCTTTTCTCTTCTAAACAAACTAATTCAGAAGGACCTGGTCCATGGTATACCCATGTCAAAGTTCAAGGTGCAAAAAATCTGTGGTGCCTGTACTAGAGGAAAACATGTGAAGTCCTCTTTTAAGTCTAAAAGGGATGTGAGCACCTCAAAGCCACTAGAGCTTTTGCATTTGGACCTATGTGGTCCTATGAGAGTGCAAAGCAGAGGAGGAAAAAGATATATTTTGTGATAGTGGATGACTACTCCAGATTCACATGGACTCTGTTTCTTAGAACTAAAGATGAAACATTTGAGGTGTTTGTGGCCTTTGTGAAGAAAATCCAGGTGAAGATGGAGTCTAGAGTCACATGCATTAGGTCAAATCATGGAACATAATTTGACAATGCCAAATTTGATGAGTTCTGCAATGAAAATGGCATCACGCACAACTTCTAAGCTCCTAGAACTCCCCAGCAAAATAGAGTAGTAGAAAGGAAGAACAAAACTCTGGAAGAGATGGCAAGAACAATGCTAATCGATAGTGAATTGCAAAGAACTTCTAGGCTGAAGTGGTCAACACTGCCTACTACTTGGTGAACAGGTGCATGATATGATCCTCCTGAACAAAACCCCACATGAGCTGCTGAATGGAAGGAAACCCAAGTTGACTCACCTAAGAACATTTGGGTGCAAATGCTATGTTCTTAATAATGGAAAGGATCAGCTTGGTAAATTCGATGCCAAGAGT